CAACCACCAGGCCCTTGCCCACCACCAGCTTTACCAGCATTTCTACCACATCTGTATCAACAGCATGTTTCTGTAAAATTGGGGATTCTGTTTTTTCACCTGGTTAGTCTACCTTGTTTTATCAGTCTGTTTATCTCATATTTTATGTCTTGTGTTTATTTTTCAACACATTTTTCCTAATTTTCATTTTAATATATTCACATGTTTTACTTGGAAATTTTTTAGTGCCTTGTTTAATATTTGAACTTTTTTTTAGTCTTTTTTTTTCTTTGTATGTTACTGTATTTTCTTTGTTTTCATTAGGTGATCTGATTTACAGCAGAATGGACAGTGATGGATGTAGATTTTATGCCATCTGTGGTCCAACATGTAGAGTTGAACGACACTTTGGAGGTTGTAACATTACTACTCCTCTAACCACTACTTCATCTGAATGGTCTACCGTAACAACATCAGTTCCTCTGACTACCACCACTTCTGGCTGTGTTTCTTCTACATACCCTCCCCTACAGGTATGTAGTTTCTCTGTTATGTTATGATTGTTGAAATACCATTAATGTTAGGTTGATACCAGACAGGAACAGTTTGCAGTCTTTAAACCTTTTATGTGCAGATTGCCAGATTAAGTGTTGCTAGTGATGGGCAATATACCTGACATAAAATTTGTATGTGCCTTCTTTATAATTTTTTTTCACACTGAGAAAGCAAGCTACAGTAATCTTTTCTAATTACTTTAGTGCTAGTAAAACACTTTCTGATGCACTGCATTGCATAAATAATAAATCTTCTTACTGAAATAACAGAGGAAGTTTCCTTGTGCATTTTGTTTCTTCACTAAACAGAAAAATTTAAGCTACTGTGGAGGCTTGTATCTGTTTCTGTTCTCATGCCCTCTTACCTGTACTTCCATACACATTGGTTTTTTTCTTTTTTTTTTTTTTTGATAGTGATGGTCTGTGCTGATAGTGAAGTACAGTATACAAGTCTAGTATAAAGGACATCAGTTCCCTTAACCTAAGACCTATTCCCCCAAATCTCAGAAGAGCTCCTCATGCAGAAGAAATAGCTGGAATTAAGGTTCCCACCTCCTTTTAGCATTAAAAAAATATTGTCAGCCTTGTACGATCAGTGAAGATTTTCATTTTAGTCTTTGCTTCAGATTTGGAAAACAAAACCATTTCTGATCCTCCATGTCATGGTCAGAATTATGAACACCTCTGGTCAACATTGCAAATCATTAGTACCACAAATTGAAGAGAAGTAACACATATTAATTTCCTTTCCAGCACCACCATTACTGGAAACAATATACCGTTAAACTAAAACTATGAGTAAAGTTCATATCTGTTTGCAAACTCCTGTGACAGCAATTTTTGTTCATTTTGCAGCCTGGACAAAGATACAAACTATCCAACTGTACAGAACTCATCTGTAAGGGAGACAACAAGGTAGAAATAATTCCAACACACTGCCCACCTGTAAAGGAAATTACCTGTGCGAACAGATATCCTGCAATACTGGTACCTGATGAAAACGGCTGCTGTTACAAATATGAGTGTCAATGTAAGCACCAGTAGATTAAGAAATAACCTTTTTTGAAAAAAGCAAAACTTTGCACAGATTATATGTTTTCTTAGGGTTGCTCTATAAATTGTAGTATATTCACTTCAGTTTCTAAATTCTTTCTTCTAAACTAATTTTCATGTTAATCTTCTAAATATTTTCTCTCTACCAGGTGTGTGCAGTGGATGGGGTGATCCTCATTATATTACTTTTGATGGAACCTACTATACTTTCCTTGAAAACTGCACTTATGTCCTGGTGAAACAGATTGTACCTAAATATGATAACTTCCGTGTTTACATTGACAATTATTACTGCGATGCAGAAGATGGACTTTCCTGCCCTAAATCCATTATTATTTTCTACAAATCTGCAGAAGTGCTGCTGACCCGTAAACTCATGAATGGTGTGATGACGAATGTGGTAAAATACACATTTTTTATTTCTCTATTTTTGCAAAAAAAAAGAGATAAGGTCTACAGGCCTTACTGATTCTCATTTGAAATACAGTCTCTTAGAATATCATATCACAGAGGTGATGAGGGCAGAGGGTATCATTAGGAAAAAAAAGATTACACCAGTTACTAAGAACAAAATGTCAGAAACAGCTTAGCACTATGCAGATATGAATATATTGTATGCATATATGTGTATGTATAAATAACACTAGGAAACAGACTAATACAGCTGATAGAGAAGACAGAAAGAATACTTACACTGGGTGCTTGATTCATGTTTCATGAAAACTAGTACATTGTTCAATTCACTTATGTAAACAAACACATTATGAAGAAACAGGAATGCAAATCACAAGCATGATTCTTCTCTCATGGTGAAGATGGGTATGTATCCCTTATCACTGGATGACTAGGGACTGCTTCCTCTGCATAGGGAACTTCAGGCACCAAACAGAGCCGTGACAAGATCCCCCCTCCAATTCCCTGCGGGGAAGAGAGGTATAGCTGAAGAAAAGGGGTGGCTGGGTGTGTCACTTCACCTTCATGATTCTAAACTAGTGCTGGCAAGACAGTGAAAATGAAAAGTCAGTCCCACTGTTACACTGGGGAATTTATGAGTTGATTAGAGAACACAAAGAGGTGGGAGGAAAAGTTTGTCTCAATATGCACTCTCCCCCTAGAAAGCCATGCCAGATTCTTACCTACAGTCAGAAAGGCATGCTGAAACAATTAATCCAGTGATTCTCTCGAAAGAAAACTCTTTTAACTCTTACTTTATCCCAATTTAAGGAGAAGAAAGCTGCAGAATAATTCCTGACAAAAAGTTATTAAGCAAATACGTCCACCTTCACTAACTCATATAAGATACAGGCTGCAAATGGAACAGCTTAGATTAATCAATAAATATGACTACTACATAAAACTGTCACCAGGGACATTTGACTTCATTTTAAATTCAGACAACTCTTCCAATGCCAAGCAACACATAGTATAGGGACAGTATGATTTTGCAGTTATTACATATAAATGGCAGGAATATTTCTGTAGTTAAAGAAAACTACCACCCGTTTTCATATGAAAAATGTTTACAATAAACAAAATTATGAGGGATACAAAGAAAATACTTGGATTTAGAATGCTGTGCATTAGCACACAATCTTCACAAACATGGTACTTAGAGGCCTCTTAGATTATTATCACACTGTAGCAATATAGCAATACAGCAATACAAGCTGAGATATTAATGCATATGTATGCTGTTATTGCAATGCCAATGAGCATTGGATGCAATGCACAACAATATGGAGTTATACATGATTATGAAGATTAGAAAACACATGATTTAAAACAATCAGGCATAAGCAGTGCTTATTCTGAAGTTGTGGATTTTTTAACCCTGCATTCAGATGTACTTCAACAAAAAGATTGTCAAACCAGGCTTCAGAAAAGATGGCATTTCTTTCTCCACACTTGGCATCAACATGATTGTTGAAATACCAGAGATTGGTGCAACCATCACCTTTAGTGGACTGATTTTCTCTGTGAAACTCCCATACAGCAAATTTGGCAACAACACCGAAGGACAATGTGGTAAGACAGATGCACTAATTGGAGGTGGGACTCTTTCCAGTCTCATGATTGACAGAAATTTTTGAACAGCAGTAAACTGGAAATGAAAACAGTTCTGCTCTTCAACTTCTGTAGGATCAAAAGCTCAATGTTTTTTTTATTTTGGGGCTGGGGTTTTTGGTTTGTTTGTTTTTCCATAGCCTAAATTAAAGTTCATATAACTGTAGAGAAAGCACTCCCTATGAAGCAAGCCACCTTATACATTTCATGAGCACATCACTTCTAAATGTGATATCAGCACAATAATGTATTGTGCTTCTCTGATGTGGCTTATGAGACTTACATAGCTTGTCTCTTCCAGGAACATGTACAAATAATAAATCAGATGAATGCCGCTTACCAAGTGGTAAGATCATTTCCTCCTGTCCCCAAATGGCTCATCACTGGATCGTTGATAACAACAGATCGTGCCATGGAGTACCAGTACCAACAGTTGTAAGCACACCTTCACCAAAGCCTCACTGTAAACCACCTCAGCTTTGCAAGCTTATCTGGAGCAAGTAAGTAAAAAACTGAATGAATTCATTCTTTCTAGACAAAACTGTCTCAGTATCTTACAAGAAGAGTAGGAACTATAGTCCTAGCATGTGATAATAGCTGAAAATGTCAGCTTAATGACAGGATACATGCAGTAAAAGGCCTTTGCAAAGGAAACTGCTCTTCTTTAATGTCTTGCATGCCAAAGATAACTGAGCAAGAGAGGTGAAGTCAGAAAATCAGGGATGCAGCAAGTACAAAAATCCATACTCCCTGGGTTGTAATCACACAGATTTATGTCATCTTTCTCCCTACCTACCTTCCAGGTTATGCTCATCACTCTTAGTTACACTATTAAGTAAAGACTGAACTCTAAATTTGAAGTGGGCCTTCAGTACAAACCATAAGGAACTTGGTTACCAACCAGGTTAACAGAGCAGACAGAAACATCTCAGCCAAAAAGCGTCCTTCATCTTTGTACATTTTACATAAAACATGGAGCTCCAAAAGCACAAAGGCTTGTTTCCTGCAGTATTTGCTATACTTGTGTGAGCTCTGACAAAAGCTTTTTTTCAGCTGAGTCACTTATAAAGGCCCTCTTACTCTTGCTTGCTGTAGTGTCTAATAAGTTATGAACTATTGTGCAATTTTTCTATCTCTCGGCTACTTTTATCATCCCTTTTTCCTCAGTCTGATGCAGCTGCCTTTTTAATGAAATTTCTTGTGTCAGACTGATGAAAAGTTGTGTACACATACAGAAACACTATGACCATTAGCCTCTTTAGAAAAAAAATGGAGCTTCAGATTTCCTACTTTTCCTTTCCTGAATCTATCTTCCAGATTATCTGCCATTCTTAGGGTTTTGTTTCTCGCAATACATTCCTTCCTGAACCAGAGAGTCACATGCCATTAACTGGGAAGTGCTGGATTTTATATAATGACTGGTTAACATAAAATGGGTTTGGTTTCTTTTCTGTCTGCAGGATTTTTGCAGAATGCCATGCTGTCATACCACCAGAACCATTTTTCAAAGGCTGTGTTTTTGATGGATGTCGCATAGCCAATGAATCCATGCAGTGTTCCAGTTTGGAGATATATGCTACAGAGTGTGCTGCTAGAGGTGTCTGCATCGACTGGAGAGGAAAGACCAACAATACATGCCGTAAGTATTGCAGAACTCAAAAACGTGTGTGAGAAATAGTAGTAATTAGTGTTTTATTCAGTAAACATATCTTACATCTAACACTTGACTACTGCCTACAAAAATACTCACAGAAGCGGCAGATGAAGAAAGCAAAGCTGTAGTCACTTTTGCTGCATCTATTTGATTTTTGATCAATTTTTGATCTTTTTTCTTCTTTTTCCATACAGCATACAACTGTCCAGCAAACACGGTATACAAGCCATGTGGGCCCATTAATCCTGCCACCTGTGACCCAAGGTACGGAAAGACAAAAAACCCCACCCCAAAACAACTGCTTATATTTTTCTTTTTTTCTATTTTTATCTATCTACTTTCCTTAGAAAATGGAGTTACTTCATAATGAAATGTCTTGTGAATTTGGATAATTTATTCAAGATTTATAAATATCAATCAGCCCTATGAATATGCACTTCCTGTTGCAGTTCAGAAGATGTACATTGTTTTCTCTCCTTTGTATCTGACATGGCAACCTTCTACACATGCTGCTCTCTCTCCTGCTTCACTGCAAAAACGTTGTACTCAAATACACACATTCCTCCCACTCTAGCTTTGTTGAGCTTCCTGGCTATGGAGTGACTGAAGGATGTTTCTGTCCTGAAGGACAGATGCTCATAAGTGAAGACGGCAACACCTGTGTTTCTGAATGCTGTAAGTAACCTGTAGCTAGTTTGGGGAATAAATAGAGATCAGGATTGATAGTCAGGAGGTCTGTGTTCTACCGCCATCTTCTAGATGGTCAGATCATGGGCAAATCACCCTCTTTTGGCTCCTTTAGTCTCCCCATCTAAAAATCGAATAATAATCAATATTACCTTTTTTCCCCTCTTTCTTCCTTACATGAGACCTACCAAGATGGTAGAAATCTACATTTCAGAAGAACTAGTCTGCATATTCATTTTCTTGTTAGTTTAATCTTCACAGTATTTCTATTTGAAACTGCACAAATTTACTCCTTTATGTCAGTTTTCAGTGGTGTAAAGCTCCATTCATTTTTTTTTATTTCCAGCTTGTAGGGAACCAAATGGAGTACCCAGATCGGTGAGTATCACAATCAATGTGGTTTATCAAGCACAGACAAGTGAAGCAAGAGGATATTTAGTGTTTCACAAAAACGAAGTTTTGCTTAGGTTAGGGGAGACTTTAGGGGTTTTTTTCAAAAGTTCGTTCCCCTTTAGTCTTAAAAATAATTAGAAGTGCCACAGCAAAAACCCCATTACTCCCTAAGAAATTTAACAGTAAGTGATGGGATATTCTTTAGATAACCATCACCTCACATACTGAAAAAAAGAAAAAAAAAAGAGAGAAAGAGAAAAAAAAGAGATAGATGGTAGTAGTGGAACTTTGGCATATGTGCTTCTTTTACTTCCACAAATCTGGCTCACTGAAGTTACTAGAGATGAAGGGACAGGTGGATAACAAAGTTTACCTGTTGCTGATAATGTTGATAGTCTGCATTCTTAGTTCCTCAGCTGCATTCAAATTATAGAAATTTCTCTCTGTAACCTAATGTGTAAATGAGTATGTTGTGTGATAATTTCTTATTCAAAAATGCATGCAAAGCTCAATCACTTCTCCTTTAGACCTCCTGTACCCCTCATACTAACATTACTAATAAATAGAAAGTGATAGCTGTATGAACATGCTCAGAACCTTCAGTGGCGTCCAGTGTCTTCCCCTAATTAGCTTCAGTTTGAGGGTTTCTTATAAAATCTAAAAATACTAGAAATATTAAAAGGCTGATGTAATCAGGTATCAGTGTATCCATGAATAAGTCAACTAGAAACAAATAGAATTATTTTAATTGGAATTTATATATAACTATTTTCTTCGTTTTTTTTTTTCTTTTTTATATAGCCAGGAGAAAAATGGTCCAAAGATTGCCAGGAATGTGTCTGTGACAAAAATACTCTTAAAGTGCACTGTACAAAACACAAATGTTCTCTGACACAGCAAGTATTTTGTGATGAACCAGGTTACGTGCCTGTTCAGACGCCAATACCAGAAGATCCATGCTGTACCAGGACTGAGTGCTGTAAGTACTGTCATAGTCCTTTATCATGGGGAATATATTATATTCATTTTGGGGAACTACAGCAATAATTTCTCATTTTTGTAATACTTTGCACTGATTTCATAATGCTTTTCTCCCTCGTCCCACTTCTTAGGACCTTCTTGCAGAGCATTTACTAGATGCCTGAAGAGAACAAATTTAAGATGAAAAGATTTTACATAGTTAGACCCAATTGGTACAAATTTCTCTTTGGAAGTATCTCTTTCCAGCAATCACCACTCTATTCTTCTCAGACAATGCTTTGTTTTACAAAGGTTATGGGAAAACCCGTTCACTTTAAAAATAGCCGGGCAAATATACTGAATTGGTCATTAAACTAGCTTGTGTAAACAACACCATATTTGCCCCATGGGAAAACTTCTGAAGTTCATGAAAAACAAAATTACCTTAATTTAAGAATTCTAAGTTCATTATTTTCTATATTCTCTCACATTAAACAGACTGCAACACTAGCCACTGCCCTAAGGTCACACCCCAGTGCTTAGAGGGACAGGAAGTAATCACAATAATGCAGCCTGGAAAATGCTGTCCTACCTTTGAATGCAGTAAGTACTATGTACCTTCTTCATGTGTTATTCACAGTTTAAGTGAATACAAAGTTTCTGAATACAAAAGTTTCTAAGTTTATGAATACAAAAACTTTAAAGGAGGAAGATGTGAATTATCTCTGTTATCATATTGGGCCAAAAAAGCAGCATTTTTTTCACATACTTCTGCTTCTTAAAACTTACACCTCTATGACACCATCTTTCTTCCTTCTTTACAGGACATGGTTGTGTAGTCAATGAAACCTATTATGCAGTAAGTACACAGAGTAACTCACTATAGAACACACCTTCACATAGGTTCACAATACAATCTTTTTGAGGCTCCTATCATGGACCACATTTTGCAGAAAGGCCTGAAATAAAACATTATTAATTATTTAATCGAGGTCAGCATATCAACATCCTCCCTACAAGCAAAAGAATTTTCTGCTCTCCTTTCTGCATTAGCAGAATTTAATTCCAAAATGGATATTACCAACAACAGAAACTCTGCTTAAATGAAACTTCCAAAATTGTATTTAAGGATAGTTTAGCCCATACATAGTTCAGCTTTGTATGGTCTGTGGCATACATACACAAAGTAACTTGATTTTACTGACTAATAATGTCTTTTTTCCTGACTTCCCCTAGCCTGGAGCTGTCATTCCATCAGGCCCCTGTGAAGAATGCACCTGCTCTGAATCCTCTTACCCAAGCCCTCATCATGCTACCATCAAGTGCAAGCCTGTTATCTGTGACACACACTGCCCAGTGGTGAGTGCTATTTTGCTGTCAGTAATTCCTACCCCACCCAGCTCAAATATCCACCAGTTAAGGTCAGTGTCCTGACTCAATGTCATTTCCTCTCTATTTCTTTCAAAACAGGGTTATAAGTATACAAAGAAACCTGGACAGTGCTGCGGCACATGCAAGGCAGCAGCTTGTATAATGACTGTGGGAGACAACATTACACGCGTGCTCCAAGTAACTATCCCTGTTTTAGTTCACTTTTGGTGAACTCTGCTAGTCTTTTCACTCTTTCCTCTCCTTGTCTTTGTCACATTTATTTGCTGCATCTTTTCTCATGTTACACAATGCTTATTCAGGCAGGGAATGTACTGTCTCACACAGCTTGAACAGTACCTTCAGCCACGAACCTCCAGTTCTAACTAAGACTTCTGGAAGCAACTGTGATACTGAACAATGGCTTTCAGAAAGCAACACAGAAAAACACATATGTGAAAGCAATGGGCCTTTATTTGCCTTCAGCTCTGAAAATATAGCACCCATTTTGCTCAAAGGATAATTTTATCTGTGGAGGCAGTTTTCTGCTCCAAACAGCCAATCTCAAGTTATCTGAGAGCTTTAGGACAGTATGAGTCGGTGAAGCCAGCAGAAATTCTGCCATGGATCTGAACAGACATATCCATAAATTCTGCTGACAAAACCATTGAAACACAAATTAATCTTTCCAAAAGAGTCCACATACTTATCCTGTTCACACATGTCCATATCCAGATACAAATATAACCTCTTCACTTGGTTAATGAAAAAAACTTCCAGCACTATGATAATACAACAAGTAACTATCACCTAAAATTCAAGGAAATTTTTTGGAATAATCAAACCGCAGTAGGCAGCAATGGTAAGACACTGGGTTTTTTTTGTTTCATTTTTATGTAAGAATATTTTTATTTACTTTAATTTTAACTACTTTCAGGTTGGAGAATTCTGGAACCCACCTGGTGATAACTGTACAACTTACACATGTGAAAAATATGATGACCTATTCATTCCAGTCATCTCACAGAAAAGCTGTCCTCTCTTTAACCCTGATGACTGTGATCCAGTAAGTACTCTTCTACCAGTTCTTATGTTTGTTGCCATGGCTAACACCAGTGATAGAAGGATCATGGTGTCCAAGGAAAATACCTACCAGAAGCATCATACAGGATGTAGCTCTCATTTTATCCCCTCTGAATCTGGTCCCCATCAAATTTCATTTTAGAAAAGCAAATCAAAATGAATCTTATTGAAAAATAATGGGATTTTTATTCCTAAATTATTTAAGATTATAAATTCTTTTTTAGAATTCACTTATTGAGAGCAAAGATGAAGGAAAACAAGCTACTCCAGTTCACAACATCATTCAACTTAATACAGCTCAGGGTAGATTAAAACCACCCCCACACATCTGGGGAGTCAGTTATTTCATTAATTGTGTTACTCTGACATAATCCTTCACCTGTACTGACTTTGGTCACTCAAAATATGTCACATGCTACAAGCTTTATTTCTGAAATTTTACTCTGAACTCTGATGACAGCAAAGCAGTTCCGGTCCCCCTCAATGTCAGCTTTCAAAGAACTCTTATTAATATTGAATTGAAGTTGTTATGTGCCCTTAATATTTAGCCTTGCTTGAGATTAGATTCCATGTCAATACAAAGAACTTTCTGGTGCCAGAGAATTTAGGAAGCAGGTAAAGTCTCTGCTTTAGTATGCAGATATGAAACCTGAGTTATCTTTTTCTGTTTTCCCACTCAAGGATGACATCAAGCTATCTGGCGATGGCTGCTGTAAAGAGTGCCAAGTAAAACTGAAGAGTAAGTAATGATAATTTTGTTAAGAATAAGTAATGATAATATGTGCCTTATTAGGTATATTAGTCCATCTTGCATGGTAGATGCATAGACAGAAGAGGTGAACACACCAAGTTTGGGACCATTCACACTAGGGTGAGAAAGGAAACACGTGCAAAAAGAAAGGAACAGAACATTTCCAGCATGCACTTTAGGGCCTTGGAAAACATGGATATGGTGAACTTTTGCATCCCCTACTGTTAAAATGTTAGCCTTTTTGTGGGAGGGAGAGGACTATGACTATTCTCCAACTTCCACAGATAAATTCTTTTTAACGAAGAAAGTGAAGCCAGTCCTGGGAGGTGGGTGTGCACTGAGCAGTTGCCACAGTACTGCTCTTTATTTCTGCATCCTGCACCAAAGTTGCATAAGCAAAAGGGAATTTTTCATTCATTGATAACACAAGCAGCAAGAGTCATCATTTGGGCCTTAGCAATTAAAAAGAGAAATGCATTGTGACCTAATTTCCTATTTCAGCTCCATCCATCTCAGTTTTCTACTACAAACTGTCTGTCATACACAGATATCTATTTGTATTTTAACCTATTTTCCCTTGGTTTGTGACAACCTCAGGTTGTATGAAGCACAATACAACTACTGTCATCAAATATCATGGATGTGTATCTCCTGTACCTGTTGAGATGACATACTGTGAAGGCAGCTGTGATGCTTACTCGCGGTAAGCAGTATAAAAGATAATTGTGGTCTCTTGTCTTATACTCTTTACACTAGTTACATAAAGCAAATCGCAAGTGATTTTCTAATATGTCCAATAGCCACCTAGTCATCGGCTGTTTCCATTGTGCTAACTAGAATTTTTAACAGACATGATGCTGTACTAGCTTAATTACCTCAAGACTCACAATGTTTTAACAGCCTGTTCACTGTCATAGTGAATAGACCCAAGTTTTCATTTTGCCCATGTAAGAGTGAGGTTATTTGTTTCTCACTATTCTCTCATTTTGGACTGGCTTAATATGTGATGTGGATTAATTAATTTACTTTTTCTGTGCCTTAATGAAGAGCTAGATCCATCCATTTTTACAATGAGGAGCAACTTATATTTCACCACAATACTGTAAGAATGGTAATATTGAGCAATAGTCCCACACGCAAGCACGCAACTTCTGGTATATTTAGTAATGAGTGGGAGGGGCAGTGGTATTTCCCCCATAATTTCTGAATCTTTCTCTTTGTTGGTTTTGCAATCAGATATTCTCCAGAGGTGAACATGATGGAACATAAATGCTCGTGTTGTCAGGAAATCAAGACCAGCCAAAGAAAGGTGACTCTGACGTGCAGTGACGGAACCTACCTTGATCACTCATACACCTACGTGGAGAAATGCAGCTGTGTGAGCTCTGAGTGCATTTCCCAAGTCAGCACCCAACAGGCAACAAACCAGACAAAGGCCTCTCAGGAACAAGCGAATGTCTAAAATTAGAACTAGAGAGAAGAAATCAAACAAGGTTTGAACATAAGACTAAAAAAAAAGTTTGAAAAAATACAAAAGTGTCAAAAGCAGCTAAAATTTTGGATGAACAGATGATCTTTTCTGCATACAAACTCAGTATGTCTGTCTACGTTATTTCAGTTTTCATTACCAATATATTCCCTATTGTTTTTCATGTCTTTTCTTTTACACCTTGAGAGGTACAGCATAAGGTAATTTTGACATTTTCTGTTAGTTTGTTTGGCTTCTGAGAAGTGCTGTACCATAAGACTGAGAGCTGGATTTACACCTGCACGAAGTCTATTATGAGAACAACATTCTTTTCCGGCTTGAAGCTTGTCTGTGGTGGCATAATATAGACACTCAACAATATCTAATTATTTCCATTGATGTAGACTGACCTTTTTTATAACATTTTTTTTCCAGTTCATTGAGACAAAGCAAAAGCTAAAGTCCAGAAAACAATCAAACAAAACCCAAGGAAAACTGTACCTCTCTGTTTCTTTATTTTTCTTTTTGCCTTAAGGAAAACTTAGACTGCAGAAAGCCATACCTTCTCAAACTATAAACTTCAATATTTTGAACAATTTATGATGGGCATATTTCCCTATATATTCTCATGAGAAAAAGAAAGAAGTCTTATCATGAGAAGCTACTGCACACTACTCTTTGTTTACATAACACCATCAGCATAGTAACTGTATGAAAATATGGAATTTTTTTTGTTTGTGCTTAACTGTTTACAGAAGAAGTATATATATATATTTTTGCCAACAGGGGCATATGAAGGATTTTTGTAAACAAAACTTAATAATAATAATAATAATAATTGTAAATTCTTTCCTAGGAAGCTTTTAAAAGTTGAACCATTGCTATTTATTTTGTTTTTGGAAAACTGATTTATTGGGTCATTTCTTTAAGGATTAATGTTATCCCATTTCTTAGTCTTAGTCATGTTATCTGGGTATGGTATATTTTCTTCCTCTATTTTGTTTTGGAATATTGTTTTATTTTTGTTCCTTATGAAAAAAAAGTAATGATGATTAATAAATTTTAAGCATTTTACAGCACGTCTCCTTTGACTTTTCACTGAATCTCTCACATGAGGGTTGCTGGCCCCATAAAATATTTGCTTCCCATCCTACTACAGCCATTTCTCAACAGCTCCAGGTCAAATGTCAGTCTAGACTGTGGCACCTAACCTCCTACAGAGCTCTGATACTGCTTTGAATGAAAGGCACTTTGAATGAAAAGCAAAGTGTTCCAAGCACATCACTTCAGATGCTGTCAATTAGAGAGCTTCCAATATGCAAGAACATCTTTGAGTCTGTACATATTTTGTAGCTCTGAAATTCTTTACCTGACAGACAGAAACTATCCAAAGTACTCCAAACCAGATAATCTCACATTTCAGAGCTCTCTGCAACATACATAAATCTCAAACCTGAAATTGCACTGTTGTAAAGCTACAAGTTTTGACAGGTTACTATACAGCTTTAGTTACACTATGCTTTGAACCAGCCACCACAGATCTGGCTGTAGATTGCCAAGCAACATGTTTTACACAGTTTACAAATGACTGCTCTAGGATCAGTAGAGGGAACAGTAAAAAATTAAAGGTGATGACCCTTCTCCTCGCCTACAGTTTGGACAGCTCAGTAGAGGGAGTAACAGGGTAACAACACAGGCATTCTGCAGGTGCCCTGCAGCAGCTTAGGCTGCTTTCTCACCCGTTTTTCTTTCACAGAACAGTAACAACCCATATACTCCCCAACTCAGAGGTGAGCACTGAGATCTCCCTGAGGATCACTAATAACATCATACTCCCTGCTGGCAAAAATCCCTACATCTTCCCAGCTTCCTGTTGACAAATTACTACTTCACTGTCTGTTTTTTTCAGTCCTTAGGGTCTTCTGCTCCCCAGTGAGGCCCCAGGTGGCATACTGCTCTGTTCCCTCCTTTCCACCTAACCCACCAGGCTTCCCAATGCAGCACTACTACTGAATTCATGATCGGTTTAGTAAGTCACAGATTCTCTGGCCTTCCCAGGCAAGCTAGGAAATTATTCTTTTCCCACTCGTTCTGCAAAAGCAAAAATAGTTTGTCTATAATATAAAATCAATTATTATGCACTTATTTGGTCCACAACAGCTCCTTGTCCACAGTTAACCCACTGAAATAACAGATTCCCTGCATGTTGCTTCAAGATCATTAGTTGTTTTTCCATGCAAAGCCTGTATCTCAGCATCCCAGCAGCTACCCTCTTCCCTGGAAAACTCTGGTGTATTAAGTCTGTACCACCAGCCACTTCATACAACTCACTGAAAGAGGAAAAACTAATATGTTGAGGAAGAAGGGAATGAGAGACACATAATACGTGGCACATGGGAAGTCTGAGATGTAATAATTACAGGAACAGCAGAGGCCGAAACCAACCTAGAGTGTGGTGGCATAAGAATAAAAAAAAAAAGAAAGAGAGGCAAAGGAATGGACAGACTTTGGTCCTGGCATGGGACACAAGGAGGCAAGGAAACAAGGAAGGGAAACATAAGCCAAGGCAAACATGGAGGTACGCAGAACCTGTGGCTGAGGACGTACTGGAGACACTGCCTTGGACAAGGAAGGATCTGTGTCACAGATACAGTCCCAGTGCTGGGAAAGAGCAAATGGGAACCCTCAATTCAAGAGAAGGAGAACAGGGGACAACATGCTTTGGGCATGAAAGAGCAAGTGGAAGGACTTGCAGGGACTCCCTGAAACAAGACATGGAGTAAGTGAAAAACAGAGAACTGCAGTGGATGTAGTAGATCAGCTTTACAGACTTCCTAAATTTTCCTTTACATAGGACCTATCCTTGCTCTGAGTTACTGCTGACACAGACTGGGTAATAGCTCCAAAGTAAATCTTTCTAAAAACTGGGATGAATAAGATCAGTTATATCTCTCAAAAATAAATCGCCAATTTTTAAACCCACACATAAATAATAAAGTCAATAAACAATTAGGTGGAAGAAAGTGATTGGCTTGGTAGCTCTTTATTGAGTTACAGGTCAGAATACTGTGCAGGTCACACTGAACTATACTGGTGTAGATAATTAATGTGTATTACACCAACGCTAACACTAGAGGGCTCTAGGCTCACAGTTTACAAGCCTGTATGGAAAGGTTTTCCATCAAGTGTTTCTTTCAAGGCACTTCGAAGTGAGCCACATAATAACTATTGCCTTACTTTCAAATCATTAAGATGAACTTTGCTCTTAACTTACTCTTGAATTTACAGGCATCCATCCTACATAACATATCAAGACTTGTTTATTCATCACTTAATTATTTTTTTTTTCTTATCTGATCATCTTTGGAACACAAATAAATTGCAGCAGAGAAATCATTCACTTAGGACAAAAGTTATTCCAGCTGTACAAAAAACAGTCAAAGGTTTCAGGTCTAATTTCAATATTGGCTGTCAGCAGTCCTTCCTTGGGCATTTGTACACTTGCTCCCCACTCAGAACTCGTGTTACATAGCCTAGCTGCTGCATGACCAGCTTATCTTTTCCCCTTTTCCACACAGCATTTTAAAACTCTGCAGTGTAAATAACAAATCACTAACAATCACTTTTCAACTATGCTTTGTAATTATCAGTAACATACAAAATACAACCTGAAATTGTATGTCTATTCAGATTCACTGCCTAGGAGTCCACTTCAGGTAATTAATTTGACTGTTAAAGCACGACAGCCAGCTTTTAAGCTGTTTTGAAAACAGCTATGGAAAGACTTAGGATTGTTTGTGGCACAACCCAGGAGCAGGGCTGATAAAAGACAGCTTAAGAATGGAAATCACACTTGGTAATAGAAAAACCCAGCTCAAAGGAGGGAGCTTCCTTCCTCTTCAATAGGTTTTCCTTCTTCTTCAATAGGTTTTGTTCTACCATTGCAAAAAACAGCAGCTCTGTTGCAACATCCAATTAAAACAGAGTTTTATAATAGAACAGGAGACTAGTTCTGTTTGAACATTATTAATGTAATAATAAAACAATTATAAATGCACAGAAAGTACATTTTTGCAAATGATGCAGTGCTCATGATTGTCACACTTTCTTTTGCTCCTTACTGTTTCAAAAATTATCTTCTTTCTTGAGCCTCAGATTTCTTTCAGCGTTCATTATAACTCTTATTTATACCTACAATTTGGTTATAAGGAACCAGCAAATGTTTGCACTGTTACAATAATTGTTGTTACTAGCAATTATTCACAGTTAAAATCTTTTAAATAGACAGAAACTTACTGTGTCTGCTAACTCCTCTCCTACTGTTAGAGCCATGCATGCAAATAAAATCCCACTTTTGCCTCTCTCTGTTTCATGAAAGCAAAGGCTGTCCAGGCAATCAAAAATGGAGCCATTAAACATGAGCAATTATAGACACCTTGTGCACTAAGTCTCACAAAATGCTGTAGACAACTGCATGAGTCTAGCAGCCAATCCTGAAACTAAATCATTGCTTCTGCACTTGCACCAGTCTAACTGCAAGGATATTCCCATGGTTGTTACTGGTTTTCACTTCAAAAAAAAAAATGTCAGAAATATTTGAGGGGAGCCTGATTCCAAGGGAAATTTGGAACTGGCCTAAGTTTGGAGAATATCAGATGTGGACTCTGCAGCTATTCCCTCGCTCAGCAAGGAGCCAGTCAAAACCTCTCATTCTCCTTTAGCTGATCTCTAGGGAGGTTTGGGGCCAAAACTGAGCTTTATCGCATTGCTCGATGTCACACCTACTGAGGCACATGACTGCCAATTGCAACATAATATGAGAATTGGCAGAAAAAATATGAGAGTAGGTGATACAGAACCTGCGGAAAAGGTATAATAAACACCATCATGGAATGACCTCCTGCCACAGCAGAACTAACTTCCTTATTCACATTAGTCGGTGGTTGCTCTGTGTTCTGGAGAATGAGATTATTCTACCTGATGCAGTTCTATTA